TGCGAACCACCTCAAATATTTTCATATTCTATTAACATCTGGCTATGAAACGAGTTGAAATTTTATACTCTTCATTGAGAGCAAAAAATGTCACTCTCTATAGGCCTATAACTGTAACATGGATTAAAAAAACAAAACATTTCGTCTCTTGTTGAACATTGTTAGGCTCTTTTACTATCAAGCACTGAGAATAGTCCAGCGTGATGTTCTTCTGGCAGCTCTTGTTTTTTAATAAAGGAAGAGGACCGAAAGCCTAAAAAACAAAAAAAACTTGGAAACCTTTCATATATCATATAGGGCACTTAGAACGGCAATCTATTAGAAAGGACACGAAGCAGAATGTGAAAATCGATATTGTTAAACACGTTTAAACGCTTTTATTTTGCACAATAGAGATGATTTATGTAGAATAACTGACTTAGCGAATGATTTGAAATTTTACAAACAAGTTATAAGTACAGACCGATATAAAATGTTTTCAATTTATCGAATAACTATTCCCCATTCCGCCATGTCAGTACTTAACACTTAAAAATAAAGTAGTGCACTTAAGAGCCGATAAGATACATTAAGTGTGTGCGCCCTTGAATTTGTTGAACAGATCATCATGGTCTAAAAACAATTTACCATTTACATTAGAAACTTCCACATCGAAAAAGTGTTGATATTTCCCGTACTTGTCCTTTGTTTGTGTCTAGCGCTGTTTCTGTTTAATTCTGTTTAATTTTGACCACTGTTTATTTGCGGTTGTTGTTTTCATTATATAAATGCATTTTCATCTGTACAATAATTTCAGTTCATCTCACTTCTTTCAGAAATTGAAAGGAACTTGAAGTTGTTATATATATTTGGTAAATGACGATTAAAAATTAATTGCTTTTGACCAAACATTACTCAGAAATAGCGAATGTGCAGGTTCTTGGCAGAGAAATTTCACACAAAACCTGTATAAAATATTTTAAGAAAGAAATCAAAGATATTCTTGAAATAAGAAGGGAAGTTCTTGCTATAATTCTAAAAAAGAGTTAAGGATACTTCTAACATGAAATGTAAAGGATCGATTTTGCCTTTAAAAAATGAAATGTAAAGATTTCTAATATAGAATGTACAGTATTTTTCTAACTGTCTAGTTCAATGGCTAAGATGTTTTAGTTTTGTTTGATTGTACATCCCATACAAAACATTTTACAATTCGTTGAGAATTTACTGAGATGATATTACATAAAAACTTCCGAAGATTTAAAGTTTCTTAAAAATAACTAGACCACCAAGAACGTTCGCGATCCTGTTAGTGTACTTTGAATATCGAAATAAAACACATACACACAAACTGACCTTATTAAGTACCCTTAGTTAATGATGTTCAATAAGTGTCCAATATCTAATATGATCATTGATATGTTCAGTTGATATGATATTTATAATTTTCATATATTTTTGTATGTAAATCAAGTTTTCTTTAAATATATATGTGCCTAGTACCTACGTAAATGTTGGTAGTGTTTGTGTTAGAAATTAGGTTCCCTTACCGAATCAAGATAGTTCATCTAAGAACACATACTATTACAGTGTTATATTTTTCATGATTAATAACCATTGATAAATCGTACCATTTATTATTATGTCAATTTTAACAAATTAAGTATTTTTACATAACCACGGTTTTTTTACATTGTCTTTTTTTCTGGATTTTCAGTGTGATATTTCCATCTGTACGTGTTTAAAAAATCGTGGATTTATTATACCAACACACTATCGAGTTAAAAATAAATGGTTCTATTTGTAAATGGAATTTAAACTTGGCGTTAGACCCCAAAAATTCACAAAATGTATATGTATGTTGTGGATCGGGCTATAAACCACTTTTAGGTCCACTTTTAGGTCAATCTCTAGTTATCAAAATTGGTTTTGCTTGTAAAACCAAGACCGATTCAAACAGTTTAACAGTGGTTCACAGTTTTCTTTTTCATCAAAGATGTTTGCTTTAAATAAAACATTAAACATTTATGAGTAGTTTTTTTTTATTTTTGTAGAGACATACATATTAATATGCTTATAATTTTGTGTTTAATTTTTCTTTTCTACAAGACATAATAATGTCATTGTTATGCAAACATTTTTCACATTTTGATTTCTATCGAAATCTTAGAAATAGCATATGTAAGTTAACAAGTTTTATTTTGGCCGAGTACTAGTATCATTTTAAGATACGTATTGTTATTTTTTATTTCTACTTCGCAAATATGATCAATAACCCACTTGACCCAGAGGAAATTATATAAGTATCCTCAAGAATATAGCTGTAATGAACAATGGATTGAAAAAAGTGGGACAGTCCTTTTATATTTTAGGCTTTTGACGATTTATCACTTGACATAGTAACCGTTTTTTCGAGATTGTGCAGTCTACTATGTTTGTCGTAACCAAGCCACCTGTCGGAAACCTAAGAGCATTCATGTCCGCGTACGCGTTCGAAAGTAGTTTCAATAGACAAATTTTTTTATAAAATTATTACGCATCGGAACTCCGCACTTTGCTGCTGTACTTATCAGGAAAAATTTATCGTTTTGATACGGTGTTCCGGTAGGACCAGTGCGTTTGTTCTGAGAACGAAAGCGCGAAGCAAGATGGTGACAGTACGACAGTATGATAGCGAAACACGACAGTACTATGGTGAATGTCCATCGTTTTGTCACAATAGTATTGCCGGATTGTTATAATCGTACTGTAGCGCATCACCATCGTACTGTCACGATCGTACTGTCGTACTATTGTGATCTCACATTGGAATTAAGCTGTAATTCACAAAACCATTTATTTGATATAAATTGCGTTAAAACACTATTATTTTCCTACTAACAGACATCCTTGTTAAATAATTTCCGGGAGACAAAGTTCATTTACGTTTTTTATTGAACGCATATTTATCTATTTTTATTTATTTATTTATTCAACAACATGTTTTGTGATGCGTGACAGTACGATGATGACAGTAAGATGGCGGTGCGCGACTGTACTGTGGTGGCAATACGACAATACGATGGTAAAGCACGACGGAATAATGTTGACGGAACGATGGTGACAGTACAATGGTGATTCGCGATAGTACGATGGAAGCACTACTAATATAATTAATAACTAATATTAAGCACTAATATTTATTTATTTATAATAGCTAAGTAGAGTTATGAGAAACACAATTGTAGGCATAAAGAATCATGGTACATTTCCTACATCCCCAAGAGCATGCACATGTATGATGCCGACTTGCGAGAGATTGATTGTCGTAACCGATAAACTATATGAATTGCACTCAAAACCGTAACAATGTTGTTTGAAATGGGCTTTAACTGACCGAACAATTTAATCTTGAAGTTTACTATACAATGATTTTATGAGGCAATAAAACATTTCTACCCTTCCGTCTGGACGGGTGTAGAAAATTAATTTGCTATTAAATTGCAGAAAACGAGGAAATAAAATAAACAAGCAAGAATAGCATTTATTGAGGAATAACATATTTTCCATCTCATTGCAGTAAGTAAACTTTGCTGTGTTTGTTTTGTTTTGTTCAATGATCACAAATAATTTTACTATTTTCTGTCGTCTGCAATTATTCAAGTGATGACTAACACAGTTCTTCCTTTTCATGAGAAAGAAGAATAATGTATTACAAATATAAATGTTTGACATCAAACGGAAAATAAAGTATTTGTATTTTTCGGTAAAATTATTATTGAAACTATGTCTGTCAATATTAATCAGTTTTAAAAAGCACACAGATGAACAATTAAAAACATATTCGAATTAATGACGACATGTAGACATTTCGTTCGTTCTGATAATAAGTGTACATGTAGAAACAAAGTTCTGTATAAATGTACTTAATTGAAATGGACTTTTACTCGATATATTGGGATAAACTTATTATTAATATTTTCAAGCATTACAAGTCATTACTATTTGTTTAGTCTCTTAGCGTAAGTTAAACTGAAATACCGTGTGTTCTAACTAGTTTGTTTGAGGTTCATAGATACAGAGGACATATTCGAACTTTGGCCCGGTCAAATTAATAAATAAGACAGACATTGTATTTTGAAGATACTTCATTTTTTCATTGAAATTCTTTGTAATTTATTTATAGGAATTGGTCCGTTCTTTTAGGTATTTAACCGAAGCTTAACATTTTGCCCAGCCAGCATGACCATATCGGGCCGACATAGTATTAATGTCGGTATGTCGGCAAAATATGCCGACTTTCGGCCGACGTCGGGCCGCTGCAGTACCGACATATTGAGTATTATGAAAAATTCTAAATGCAATAGCATTGTTTACTTAATAATGTGAATAAATTGTACTGTGTACGATTTCAATTACTAGAACCACACTAACCACATTTCGTGTTACATCAAAAAAGATACACCGGGTCTGCGTCGGGCCTACATGACCTATCAATGCAACTATTTTGTATATCGGATTGACGTCGGTACGATATTGTGTTTTCTGTTAAATTGATTATCATGCAGCAAATAATTGTACATTTTGATAATAATTTCTTAAATAATCATAGTTGAGTTTGGAAATGATATGTGGTTTGTAATTAAATTCAATATTTATGTTTTGAGTACATAAAAATCACTCTTTTATCATATTTTAAATGAAAAGCTTGCAAATATTCACTGCATTCACTGCATCTTATAGAACAGATTAAGCGCCAAAAAGAAAAGCTAACAAAGGAAGGTGATGAAAAGCATGTTTTTTTTAATGTAATGATGATTCAACAAATGTGTAAACGCTGTAAATAAGTTGATTTTTACACTTAAATTATTGGAAAATACAATTTATCTGTTTGTCTCTTTTTTAAATGTAAAATTAGGTTTGAAAATATTTGACACATGATTTCGCGACATGAATTATCATTGTAGTGATTAAAGTTAAATATTCGCCTTTATTATCTTATATTTTGTTAAATAATTATCTTTTATTTTGTGTGTTTGCAGGAGATGACAAATGCTTGTTGCTAGATGTCATCAACATGCTAGCACAAGAATCATACCTGGTCGATATATCTACTGTTGGCTGGCATCGCACCGCTATTGTTTTGATGTAGGCCCGATGTCGGCAAGAAATATCGGGCCTATGTCGTTAAGATATCGGCCCGATATTGTGCTGCCGATGTCGGGCCAACATCATTCCTATTTGCAGCCGAGGTTAAACCCGACATCGGGCCGTCATAGAAAAGCATTGTTACAACCAGTTTTGCAATAAAAACGAGTTTTGCAATAATTTTATTGCAAAACTGGTTGCGTTGACATGATTTTATTGCAATTTGATTACAACCGGTTTTGCAATAAAAAACGAGTTTTGCAATAAAATATTTTTTCTATTGGATTTTATTGACATTATGCAAAAGACATTATAAAATTTATCTATGTATATTAGGATTGGTGCAGGAATTATTTTCTGGGATAATGAGTGTATATGCATATGATCAAACATTAATTTACATTCTCAATTTCATTAGTCTTTTTCCTTTTAATATATATGATGAAAGGATGATCATCATGAAATATCAGGACATGTACATTTACAGCAACAACTGTATCTGCTCAAATTTCGGTGATATACTTACAAGAACTTTTAGTAAGGTCTTAACTTACCAGTTCTTTGATGAAAGAAAAAAAACGGGTTTTACAATAATTTTATTGCAAAACTGGTTGCGTTGACATGATTTTATTGTAATTTGATTACAACCGGTTTTGCAATAAAATATTTTTTCTATTGGATTTTATTGACATTATGCAAAAGACATTATAAAATTTATCTATGTATATTAGGATTGATGCAGGAATTATTTTCTGGGATAATGAGTGTATATGCATATGATCAAACATTAATTTACATTCTCAATTTCATTAGTCTTTTTCCTTTTAATATATATGATGAAAGGATGATCATCATGAAATATCAGGACATGTACATTTACAGCAACAACTGTATCTGCTCAAATTTCGGTGATATACATACAAGAACTTTTAGTAAGGTCTTAACTTACCAGTTCTTTGATGAAAGAAAAAAAACGAGTTTTGCAATAATTTTATTGCAAAACTGGTTGCGTTGACATGATTTTATTGTAATTTGATTACAACCGGTTTTGCAATAAAATATTTTTTCTATCGGATTTTATTGACATTATGCAAAAGACATTATAAAATTTATCTATGTATATTAGGATTGATGCAGGAATTATTTTCTGGGATAATGAGTGTATATGCATATGATCAAACATTAATTTACATTCTCAATTTCATAAGTCTTTTTCCTTTTAATATATATGATGAAAGGATGATCATCATGAAATATCAGGACATGTACATTTACAACAACAACTGCATCTGCTCAAATTTCGGTGATATACATACAAGAACTTTTAGTAAGGTCTTAACTTACCAGTTTTTTGATGAAAGAAAAAAAACGAGTTTTGCAATAATTTTATTGCAAAACTGGTTGCGATGACATGATTTTATTGCAATTTGATTACAACCGGTTTTGCAATAAAATATTTTTTTCTATCGGATTTTATTGACATTATGCAAAAGACATTATAAAATTTATCTATGTATATTAGGATTGACATGCAGGAATTATTTTCTGCGATAATGAGTGTATATGCATATGATCAAACATTAATTTACATTCTCAATTTCATTAGTCGTTTTCCTTTTAATATATATGATGAAAGGATGATCATCATGAAATATCAGGACATGTACATTTACAGCAACAACTGTATTTTCTCAAATTTCGGTCATATACATACAAGAACTTTTAGTAAGGTCTTAACTTACCAGTTCTTTGATGAAAGAAAAAAAAACGAGTTTTGTAATAATTTTATTGCAAAACTGGTTGCGTTGACATGATTTTATTGCAATTTGATTACAACCGGTTTTGCAATAAAAACGAGTTTTGCAATAAAATATTTTTTCTATCGGATTTTACTGACATTATACAAAAGACATTATAAAATTTATCTATGTATATTAGGATTGACATGCAGGAATTAATTCTGGGATAATGAGTGTATATGCATATGATCAAACATTAATTTACATTCTCAATTTCATTAGTCGTTTTCCTTTTAATATATATGATGAAAGGATGATCATCATGAAATATCAGAACATGTACATTTACAGCAACAACTGTATCTGCTCAAATTTCGGTGATATACATACAAGAAATTTTAGTAAGGTCTTAACTTACCAGTTCTTTGATGAAAGAAAAAAAACGAGTTTTGCAATAATTTTATTGCAAAACTGGTTGCGTTGACATGATTTTAACGCAATTTGATTACAACCGGTTTTGCAATAAAAACGAGTTTTGCAATAAAATATTTTTTTCTATCGGAAATTTACTGACATTATACAAAAGACATTATAAAATTTATCTATGTATATTAGGATTGACATGCAGGAATTATTTTCTGGGATAATGAGTGTATATGCATATGATCAAACATTAATTTACATTTCTCAATTTCATTAGTCGTTTTCCTTTTAATATATATGATGAAAGGATGATCATCATGAAATATCAGGACATGTACATTTACAGCAACAACTGTATTTGCTCAAATTTCGATGATATACATACAAGAACTTTTAGTAAGGTCTTAACTTACCAGTTCTTTGATGAAAGGAAAAAAAACGAGTTTTGCAATAATTTATTGCAAAACTGGTTGCGTTGACATGATTTTATTGCAATTTGATTACAACCGGTTTTGCAATAAAAACGAGTTTTGCAATAAAATATTTTTTCTATCGGATTTTACTGACATTATACAAAAGACATTATAAAATTTATCTATGTATATTAGGATTGACATGCAGGAATTATTTTCTGGGATAATGAGTGTATATGCATATGATCAAACATTAATTTACATTCTCAATTTCATTAGTCTTTTTCCTTTTATCATCATGAAATATCAGGACATGTACATTTACAGCAACAACTGTATCTGCTCAAATTTCGGTGATATACATACAAGAACTTTTAGTAAGGTCTTAACTTACCAGTTCTTTGATGAAAGAAAAAAAAAACGAGTTTTGCAATAATTTTATTGCAAAACTGGTTGCGTTGACATGATTTTATTGCAATTTGATTACAACCGGTTTTGCAATAAAAAACGTGTTTTGCAATAAAATATTTTTTCTATCGGATTTTATTGACATTATGCAAAAGACATTATAAAATTTATCTATGTATATTAGGATTGATGCAGGAATTATTTTTCTGGGATAATGAGTGTATATGCATATGATCAAACATTAATTTACATTCTCAATTTCATTTGTCTTCTTCCTTTTAATATATATGATGAAAGGATGATCATCATGAAATATCAGGACATGTACATTTACAGCAACAACTGTATCTGCGCAAATTTCGGTGATATACATACAAGAACTTTTAGTAAGGTCTTAACTTACCAGTTCTTTGATGAAAGAAAAAAAACGAGTTTTGCAATAATTTTATTGCAAAACTGGTTGCGTTGACATGATTTTATTGCAATTTGATTACAACCGGTTTTGCAATAAAAACGAGTTTTGCAATAAAATATTTTTTCTATCGGATTCTATTGACATTATACAAAAGACATTATAAAATTTATCTATGTATATTAGGATTGACAAGCAGGAATTAATTCTGGGATAATGAGTGTATATGCATATGATCAAACATTAATTTACATTCTCAATTTCATTAGTCGTTTTCCTTTTAATATATATGACGAAAGGATGATCATCATGAAATATCAGAACATGTACATTTACAGCAACAACTGTATTTGCTCAAATTTCGGTGATATACATACAAGAAATTTTTGTAAGTTCTTAACTTACCAGTTCTTTGATGAAAGAAAAAAAACGAGTTTTGCAATAATTTTATTGCAAAACTGGTTGCGTTGACATGATTTTATTGCAATTTGATTACATCCGGTTTTGCAATAAAAACGAGTTTTGCAATAAAATATTTTTTTCTATCGGATTTTATTGACATTATGCAAAAGACATTATAAAATTTATCTATGTATATTAGGAATGATGCAGGAATAATTTTCTGGATAATGAGTGTATATGCATATGATCAAACATTAATTTACATTCTCAATTTCATTAGTCTTTTTCCTTTTAATATATATGATGAAAGGATGATCATCATGAAATATCAGGACATGTACATTTACAGCAACAACTGTATTTGCTCAAATTTCGGTGATATACATACAAGAACTTTTAGTAAGGTCTAAACTTACCAGTTCTTTGATGAAAGAAAAAAAACGAGTTTTGCAATAATTTTATTGCAAAACTGGTTGCGTTGACATGATTTTATTGCAATTTGATTACAACCGGTTTTGCAATAAAAACGAGTTTTGTAATAAAATATTTTTTCTTTCGGATTTTATTGACATTATACAAAAGACATTATAAAATTTATATATGTATATTAGGATTGACATGCAGGAATTAATTCTGGGATAATGAGTGTATATGCATATGATCAAACAATAATTTACATTCTCAATTCCATTAGTCGTTTTCCTTTTAATATATATGATGAAAGGATGATCATCATGAAATATCAGGACATGTACATTTACAGCAACAACTGTATTTGCTCAAATTTCGGTGATATACATACAAGAACTTTAAGAAAGGTCTTAACTTACCAGTTCTTTGATGAAAGAAAAAAAACGAGTTTTGCAAAAATTTTATTGCAAAACTTGTTGCGTTGACATGATTTTATTGCAATTTGATTACAACCGGTTTTGCAATAAAAACGAATTTTGCAATAAATATTTTTTTCTTTCAGATTTTATTGACAATATACAAAAGACATTATAAAATTTATCTATGTATATTAGGATTAAAAGGCAGGGATTATATTCGGAAATAAATATAGTCTCGTTTCTTTTAATATATATGATGAAAGTGATATACATACATGACCTTAAAATAAGGTCTTACTTACCAGTACATTGAAGAAATAGACAAATACGACTTTTTATTACTTCAAAGCTTACAAGTAATTATACAAAAGTGTTTA